AAAAACGTTCTCAACTTAAATAATTTGAATAGTTTTTTGTCCGTGACCACTGCATGCCACCTCTCGGGGTTCCACACCCCATCCTCGAGGTAGGCCCCCGAGATGTTCCTGGGCCAGGCCTGCGCGAGGGGTGAATCGCGCAGGGCCAGCAGGGCCGTCTTCGTATACATAGTCCGAACAAGGGAGTCCGTGGCATAGGATTATTTATATTTTACAGAACTTGAATGCATATTATTCTTGGCAGACCAGACAAGACCAATTAAGAACCGCTCTTACAGATTATTTTACCTGTATCTATCCTCAAAGAATTGATATTCAATCCTGGCCTCTCCCTTTGGTTGTGCAGACAGAAGAGCATCCACCTTCATGACAAGGTCACTTGCACTGAAGAAAGAGAAAAAGACCATCCTGCCAATGTTTTCTTCCAACGTAATTTTTGTTAAAAAGGTCACTTGGTGAGATGTAGTAACAAAAAAACAAAAACAAACCATAAGTGCTGCTTTTGCAAATGATAAAATAGTCTATGTATGAAATCCAGTGGCAGTAAATGCAAGCAAACTGGCTGTTCCTCTTTGCTTGCTTACAAGAGAGATATCTATTTCATTCCCCTCGCTCTGAGGACTGGCTTGGGAGGGGCACACAGGGATACTGGAGGATGGAGGGACCAGAAGAAGGATGAAGCCATTAGAATGCAAATTAAAAAATCAACTCAAGGCAACCAGAAAGCTACAAGGCAAAGGGAGAATAAGAGATGAGACTCATTCTGTGAACAGTGAAAAAGTTGGTTTTTATATGCTTTTCAAAAAGAAGCAATGTAGAGGTAGTCCTCAACTTACAACCATTCATTTAGTGACATTCGAAGTTGAAGCGGCACTGAAAAGTGACCTAGGACCGGTTTTCACATGACTGTTGCAGCAGCATCCCCATGGTCACGTGATTAAAACTGGGCACTTGGCAACTGGAATGTCTTTATGACTATGATCACTGTCCCAGGGTCATGTGATCACCATTTTTAACCCTCCTAGCTGCCAAAGTCAACGGGGAAGCCAGATGCACTGAACAACTGCTTGATTCACTTAAGAATTGCAGTAATTTGCTTAGTAACGGTGTCAAAAAAGGTTGTAAAATGGGGCAAAACTCACTTAACAACTGTCCTGCTTAGCAACAGAAATTTTGGGCTCAATTGTGGTCATAAGTCAAGGACTACTTGCATCATGTTTTATACTATCTGCTCATGCTATTATAAAATAAGGTTTAAATATTTCCAGTCAAGTGTTCTTCTAAATACTATGAATGGGAGACAAACTGTAATACCCCCTATCACATTAAAGATATTGAGCTAACAGGAAAAATGTAAATAAAAGTAACAGAATCAATATAAGTTAAAATCTTATGATACAATCTTTCTACATTTAAAATCACCTGTATTTTAAAGATATGTCTGTATCTGCAAAATAAACTTAGAATATGCTATGCTTTTTCTGCCTAATAAGCCCTGGTTTTGCCAAAGATCTTATTCTTCTGTTTTTAATACACAACTGCCAGTACCATTATGTGGAGAGGGCATGATAGAGGAAGAATGTCTCTTATATATTCCATAAACACTGAAACCACCAACATTCTTCAGTGAAGAATTCCACTTCCTTTCCATAACCTACTCAATTTTTACTTACAGATCTTCTTCCACTCCTAACTGTTGTACGTGAGATTTTATTTTCTGACCAGATGTCTTTAAAATAATATTTTCTAGCAAGTGGAAGTCATCCTGGTTAAAAAGCTCCCCAGCTTCCAATGGACCAATAATCTGAAATGAAGATGAAATGGTATGATCATGATCACTACAAAGTGATCTGAACTGAACATATCCTGCAACATGCACAGTATCTTAACATGCATTACCATTGGGAATACAACACATACACAATACCTTTGCAAAGTTTTTTTTTGGAATAGTAAAAAATGGCAATATTTCATTTAGATCCGTATCAGTACTACCCTGCCATATCAGGTGATTTTACATGAAACGGGACCATTCTGATTATGTCACCGAAGCATAAGAATATTCTCTTTCAAGATGTTGTAACAGCTTTTCCTGCATGCAGGATCAATATGCTGCTTAATTATTTGATGCAATTGTTTTATTTTGGTTTGGTCACTATTGTTATTAACTACCTTGGTAGTCTTTCACGATAGTTATGAACAAATACTTCTACATTGATTGCTTACTGCACACCATTGCTAGTAAAAATACATTTCATTGCTAGTAAAAAATACATTTCATTGCTATATGTTAAGATGTATTTTTAATACAGAACATCAAACAACAGTTAAAGAATGAAGCTGGGAACAGCAGAATAAATGAATCCTACAATAGCTTAATATAATATAAGCACTTGAAACAGTAAATTTAAACAGCTGCTAGTGTGGAAAGTAGAGCAGTGACATAGGTACTCTGCAGCACAAAAAGAGAAAGTAAAGTGCCTGGGAGAATAAGAGAGTTTTGTCTGGAATAGAAAATAATTGAGGGAGGACCAGGTTTGCCTCTTTGGAAAAAGTGTTTCAGAACTGGAAGTATAAGGAGGGAGGGAGGGAGGGAGAAGCCTTCAGCTTTATAGCAGTCTATTAAGTTATTTCTGAGCAGATCTTAATATCTCAAAGGATCTATTTGCAGCAACTAGTTATGAAGGACAAAATATTCTCACATAAATGCTATTGTAAAGCCATCCTGAATAATCACCAACAAGTTGGAGTTGGAACATATTAGCACAGATTACAACACCACATTTGCCTATAAAGGTTGGTCTGATTATTACACTCATGCAGGGAGAAGCAGCTGATTTTTCTCCAATTTTGGAAGATCGGGTAAACCCAGAAGTGTTTTTGGTATTAGTGGTGAAGAGCTTTAGAAGATCTTGACCACCTTCTAAAAATGTTAAAGACTTAATTCTTCCAAAGGATATTTGGTTTCATAACACCTCTTTGTTAGGTTTTGTATGTTTAATGGGTTTTAGATCTCTTGTTATATTTCTATATTTCTGTATTTAATCTGTAAGTTGCCAAGAAACTATTATATTATGTGAGGTTAAATCTAATAAACAGATAAATAAATAATAATAGGCCATCAAAATTTTGAGTTCAGAGATAGAGGATTCACAGTTGAAAAGCTATAAACATACACTGCAGCAAAGAATATACATAATAATTCCATTTTAAGAAGCCCATTTTATCTTTTCAGAGTCCCCACAGAAGGACTTAAAAATATGGTCAGGAGTTTGATTTACATTAAAATGAATCCAAAATTAGCATTCTCTTGTGTAGAGGGGAAAAAAGTACCACATTAGGACCAAAAACATCTGCAAGTAAAGCACTGCTTGTTTTATAAATATAATTTGCTCACCCTTCCGTTGCTAATCACCGCTCTCTGGCCTTTCTTCAGTTTAAGAACATCCCTGCAGTACACAGCATGTGAAAGGATAAAATCCACTTCAGGAGCATCAAGAGCTGCTTTAAATGTATTGATTTCCATACCCTAAAATGGGGGGGGAGGGGAAATATTTCATTAAAAGACAATGTGATGCATCTTATCCTGTCTGGAATTTAGGAAGGAAGCTGGAATTTAGAAAGAATGTCGCTGTGTTTTGCTATTATTCCTACTGTGTTTGTTTATCTTACAGTAAAAAGGTCATCTTCAACACTTACTCCAACAGCAAATTCTGTGATATCTGTTCCAGCCTCCAGCATCTTTGCATTCTCCTCTTTAAGTAATTTTGTGATAAAATTTTTGGCGTTGTTTGATGTCTGTGTCTGCAAGGCTGCCCATATGGCCCTGGCAATAATTGTGGTTTCAGTTGCTGGGTCTTCACTGGGATTGTTAATCACACCAATCCGGATAAAATTACTGGACTTCTACAGAAGAAAATGAATTGCAGATTAAAAATGGTTATTTTACAGTTCTTAAGTGAAAGAAAGAGCTGTGACAACCAGCAAGTCAGCATTTTTTTTTAACAGAGATCACAAGCCAATTTGATATAGTGATTAAAATGCTGGCCCAGAAACTAGGAGACTGTGAATTGTGATGCCACCTTAGGAATGAAAATCAGCTGGGTGACTTTGGCAATTAAACCCCAATGATGCCCTTGACGTGATGGCCCGGTGCCTGGAGGCCGTACGGGTCTGGATGGGGAGAAACAGACTCAGGCTCAACCCTTCCAAGACCGAGTGGCTGTGGTTGCCGGCGCCTCGGCATAGTCAGCTGACTCCGTCGCTGACAATAGGGGGCGAAACTTTGGCTCCCTCGGAGAGGGTGCGCAATCTGGGTGTCCTCCTGGATCCACGGCTGACACTAGAAGACCAGCTGACGGCCGTGGCCAGGGGGGCATTTTACTGGGTACGCCTGATTTACCAGTTGCGGCCTTTTCTGGACCGGGACGCCTTGCGCACAGTCACCCATGCTCTTGTCACCTCCCGCCTGGACTACTGCAATGCTCTCTACATGGGGCTCCCCTTGAGGAGCACTCGGAGGCTCCAGTTAGTCCAGAATGCAGCCGCGCGGGCGGTGTTGGGAGTGACCCGTCACTCCCATGTAACGCCGCTGCTGCGCGAGCTGCACTGGCTGCCGGTAGCTTTCCGGGTGCGCTTCAAGGTGCTGATTATCATCTTCAAAGCGCTCCATGGCATCGGACCTGGTTATCTCCGAGACCGCCTTCTGCCTCAGATTACCTCTCATCGGCCGATACGCTCCCACAGAGAGGGTCTCCTCAGGGTGCCGTCAGCCAGACAGTGCCGGCTGGCGACCCCCAGGGGGAGGGCCTTCTCGGTTG